ATTCCTCCCCATAATCCGAGCAGCATTATCCAGTTGTAATTTCCACATTTGTAAAAGAATTCTCTTTGGATTTGCCACGGGGCTCGCCAAACAATGTCATTGCTTTGCAGATTTCGAAAGGCATTAATCCACATATCTTTCTTAATTTCTTTCGGCCATTCCTGCTCTAGAAATTCTTTTAATGGTGAGTAATCCGTATTAAAGCGTCGGTATGAAACCTTTTCTGTCCTCCAGAAATGACTACGGATCCAAACATATAACAACTGGGTACACCCTGAGAATCGTCCACCTCCTAACTTTCTACAAGCATTTAACGATCTGAAGGTCTCTGATAGGATTGCAGAAGCAGGATTAATCTTTTTCGGTAGCTGTTCAAACAAATCTACCACTGCAGCTTCAACATATCCCAATACTTTTGGGAAGATGACCATACCATACATACCCAGAGCAAATAAATCGAATCGTACTTTAATATCTGGATGACTCTGAATAAGTTCTTTAATGTTGGTCCAAGCAATGCCTTCGCTTTCACCTTTTTGTTTTGTACGGGATGCCACCCATTCTTCTCGTACCCCGGCAATCTTTGCTAATTTAACTCGAAAGGGTTGAGTTTTAATTGACTTTGAATAGATTCGATTCTCCAAAGCCCCTATATGTAGCAAAGTTGTGTATTCTTCAATAGTAGGGACCAAATCCTCTTTATTGAGAGTGAAGCAATTGTACCCTGGATTCCAGAATTGAATTAGGGCTCTGAGTAATTCATCATCAACTTCTACATAGAGCAAATATGGGATGTCTCCGTAAGTCTGATAAAACTGCAATTTTTTGTTTGAATCCCAACTTTCCCAAATGCTTCGCAAATCTTGCATATCATTTCTTTTTAGTGAAACTGGAGCATAACTGGCCAAGTCAGATACATAATCATCCTGCAGGCTGTCTCCTTCTCATTTTTGTAAGTCCTCAGCCCACTGTCTTATTTCTGAGTTTAGAATTACTTGATTTGAACACTTTTTATCCATAGATGAAGGCTTTCCAATGAGACAATTAACACAAGGATCAATGTCTTTTATCCTGTATGATGCAATGCAAACAAAAAAATAAAGAACACACAAAAAGAAAATAAATTAGTTTACATAATAAAGAAATTTAGCATTTACATAAATAATTTTTTATTTAAACATGCTTTTCTAAATTTAAATAATTTAAATATACATGTAATTTAATCATTAACAAAATAAATAAACAAGAAAGTTTAGAATTCATTTCTCCTGTGTGTACACCTATTTTAGACAAAATTTCGGCATGACTTCGGATTGGAAGAGTTTCTAAGTTTTTTTATATGCAGGGTTTCAGATCTAAAAATCAAGGTACCCGAATTGTCCTTGTTAGTGCCCCCTTGGGTTGCTAACCCTCAATCCTAATCCATCACAGACTAAAGTGGATCGAGTTCAATTCGAGGGGATACATTTCTCTATGCCTGACACGGAGAATAAATTCTCACGAAGACAGAGAGCATATGAATCCCGGAAGTTACTTGCTAGGTCTGACACGGAGAATAAATTCTCACGAAGACATCGCTTTCACTCCCACTTAAAAGGGACAACTCAATTATAGAGCTTTATGTTATGGAATGCAAGTGTTGTGTGTGAGGAGAAATGTTTTGACAGAAAAATAAATACTGAAATAAAATACTTGCAAATAAAATAAAATGAAACATATAAATATTATGAAAATAATAAATAAATATAAAAATTTTGGAAAGATAAAATTAAAAATTAAATATATGAATTTTTAATTTTTAATTAATAGAGACAATTCATAATTGATTTTTAAAAGTTTGACCGTCCCCAGCGGAGTCGCCAAGCTGTCGTAACCGATTTTGGTCCGGGCATAAAATTTTAAATTTGGCTGGAAAATTGATTTAAATAAATGTTTTTGAAAATAATTTGAGAGTCGCCATCGGCCTTTTGGGTCAGGTAGGTCGAATACCTAAAAATTATTTTTTAAGAGAGTTTTAAAGAAAACACTAATAAAAAAATGAACTGATCTGCGTTTATAACCAAAAATTCATTCTTTTTAATAAAAAAGGGATTCGTGGTCGGTTACGTTTAGGGAAGGATTAGCACCCCTACAACGCCCAAAATTGGTACTTTTTAATTATAAATTGTCTCTATTATTAAAATTTAAAAATTCAAAATATATTTAATTTATAATTTTATTATTTCAAAATTATTATAAAAAAATATTTATTTATTTAAAATATCAGAAAAGAACTTCTAGGTGCCTTAAGACAGCTCTTTTCTTTGATATTGATATATTTTTTATATTTTTTTTTATTTTAAAATACCAGAATAGGACATCCAGTTGTATTAAGACTGTCATTTTCTTCGATATTGAAAAATAAATATTAAAATAATTTATTTAAAATAAATATTTATTTATTATATATATATATTATGACTACATAATAAAAATATTTAATATATAAACAAGTAAAATAAAAATACAATTATAGCCATATATTTAAAAGCAATAAACAATACTTAAAATAAAGGACTAAATTATAGTAAAATTAAAAATAAAAAAACCAATTCATAATTAATCAGAATTATGAGGATTAAACATGCTATTTTCTTATTTAATAATTTAGTGATTAAAATAAACTTATTAAAATTCGAATATAAGATTAAAATAAATTAAAAATATAAACTAGGGATTAAAATTATCTATTAAAATTAAGGGATTAAATCTGTTATTTATCCTAAATATTATTTTAATATAAAGGACTAAAATAAAAGAAATTAAAATTCGAAGACTGAATTAAAATATTATAAATTCAATTTAATGACTAAAATGTAAAACATATAAAACATAGGGATTACGGAAAGGGTTTAACATTTATAAAATTACACAAATAGCCCTCCCCAAAACGGCGTCGTTTGGGAAGGGCTATTTAATGCCCAAACGGCTGGCCCTTCGGGCCAGCTATCTCATTTCTTTTTTTTTTCCTCTCTCTCAAACAGAGAGAGAAGAGTTCTCTGGCTTCTCTCTAAACTGAGAGAAGCCGTCCCGGTCAGCCACCGCTACCGGGCTCCGACCACCGCTGCCGGCCACCGTTAATGGTGGCCGGAAATTACAAAAATCCACCAGAATATAGATCGGGACGGTCTAAAACCGTTTCCGGTGTTCTTTTTCCTTAAAAAGCTCCCAATCGGAGCAGATCTACAAAAATACCTTCGGTTTTCGTTGTATCCGGCGACGGTTGGGGTTCTCCGATGACAGAGTAAGCTTCTTTCCTCTCTTCTCTCTTTTTTTTTCTTGCTGCGTTGATGTTGACTGAGATCGTTGGTATATTTTTTAGTATATCTTTTTTTTTTCCTCTGTTTTTTTTTCTCTCCGTCTCTCTGTGTTCTCTGTCTCCTCCCTTTTTTTCAGGTTGGGGTGGTGGCTTTTATAGCCACCACCGGTGTGGCCATCGGACCGGTCCGAAGATGGAGTCTCGGTGAGTCACCGGACTACCAGTGGTGACTCACCCCGTAGCCATGGCGTGGACGGCTGGCGTTGGAGCTTCTGGAGCCTTCGGTTGGGACGTGGCAGCGGCGGAGGCGGCGAGATAGCAACGGCGGCCGCGTGTCCCTAGGGTATCAGACCCTAGGGTTTCCATCTGGAGCAATCTAGGGACCGTTGGATCTCTCAAATCCAACGGTTGTGATGAGGCGGCCGGCTAGATTAGGGTTAGGTAACCCTAACTGAAACCCCTAAATGTTTAGGGTTTCTGGTTTGTTCTGGACCGGTTCTGGTTTGTTTGTAACTGGGCCGGTCCATTTGTAATTGGCCTGTAATTAATTATTATATATATTTAATATATATTAATAATAATAATAAAATGATAATAATAATAATAATAATAATAATAATAATAATAATAATAATAATAATAGTAATAATAATAATAATAATAATAATAATAATATGGATAAAAAAAATTAGTATCTTCACCAGTAAAGAAGCAATTTGGTTGAATATGCTATTAGATGAGCTTGGGCACAATCAAGAGTATGTCTCTCTGTTTTGTGACAGTCAAAGAGCCTTGCATCTAGCAAGGAATCCAGCATTTCATTCAAGGACAAAACACATACGAGTTCAATACCATTTCATTCGTGAAAAGGTGGAAGAAGGGACGGTAGATATGCAGAAGATCCATACCAAAGACAACATAGCAGATTTCATGACGAAGACGATCAATGCTAATAAATTTACCTGGTGTCGATCCTCTTGTGGCCTGTCAGAGACGTAAGCAACATGAAGGTACAAGGTAGAAAGAATGGTGTGAAGATATGGTTGTTCCAATCAAATCTTCAAGTGGGTGATTGTTGAAAAGTCAAAACAACAAGTTGTAAATTTTAGGTGGCTTTTGGAATTAATGCACCGAAAAGTAGCTGAAAAATGTTGAAATTTGACATGGTAAAATCACTCATTTAATCACTAAACTTTAAGGTATTTACAAATTAGTCCTTAGGCTTTAACTATAAATACCCTAGCTCATTTAGCTTCAAAACCATCCCAAAGCATTCTAGTTTTCTTCTAATACTAGAGAGAATTTAGAGAGTTTCTTGAGAGTTGTTTTTCTCCTTTTTATCAAGAGAGAATTATCATTGTTTTCTCCTTGGTAGATCGAAAGAAGTTGTAATTCATATTTTCCCATAGTGAAATTCTTCTACCGTTGACTGTGGTTTTTACCCTATATTATTTAGAGGTTTTTCATGTAAATTTTGTATCTCTTTTATCTTCAATTTTTTTTTCTCAAATTATCATTTGCGTTTTTGCTCTATCCGATAGCCGTCTTCCGCAACACAATCTGGATGTTATTAGAATTGTGCCTAATTGGGGTACTAAAACTCTTCATTTTGGCATCTTCTATCTCCCTATATCTTCTTTGCTGGCATGTCTATGTTAACTTGCTTGTAAATCTGTGTCACAGGCCATCAATCCGGCTCACTTCTGATGAAGTTGTTGCATGCCGACTTGCTACAAATGAAATACAGTTTTTTGATCCTGCAGATTTCTCTAAAGGAATTTTGCATTGGCTAAGAATTCCTGGGGTTGCTGCGGTGGAGCTATCCAAGGATCCTGGGTGCCATGTGGCAGCATTTGTTCCAGAATCTAAGGTTTGTGTTCCGTTGGCTTCTGCAGATTTCTTGTCGTGAAAAGAAAGAACCTGAGAAGTGTCTGGTATCGGTATCCTCCTTTCCTGGTTTAATAGTTTTCTGAATATTCTCTTAACATGCTGTGACAGTAGAGGAACATGTCAAAGTTAATTAAAAGCTTATAATAAATACCATATGATTTGATTGGATAGGACCAGGTTATTTCATTTCGTAGAAGTGAAGAAAATCTGGAGTTTTTGAGTTTCAATTTCTTACTATTAGTATTTATCTTATTTTCCCAAGAAAAAAAAGGAATATTACCTATAGCATTGGAAGCTATTATTTTGAGTGTTCTCAATGGAACTTTGTCAAATTTAATCACAAAACTTTATCTTAATGGTGTTTACTAGGTATCTACCCGGCGAAGTTGATTTTGGTATTTGGGTGGTTCCCATGGATTTGTTTCTCCGAGTCAGTTCACCCTCGTTCGTTATGCAGCTAATATTTAGTTTTATTCTTCAGGCATTCTGGGACTTTGTACATAAAAAGCAGCTGGAACAACTAGGGCTGAATGTTCGGTAACAAGTGAGTGGTCTGCGGATGGACGCTATTTCATGACTGCAACGACAGCTCCCAGACTCCAAGTTGACAATTGGTATGTGATTGTTGTCATCTTCTTATAACAAGGAATTAGTGGGGTATACTATAGTGCTGCAATCAACGTTTCACCTTCATATTTGCTTCTACAAACATGGTGTTCTTGGTTTTGGTTGTTTTGTCACATTAAATGGCCAATTCCATTGATCTATTCACAAACCATTGAAATAGAGAAGCTTCTTTCAATCACTATGAATTTGGTGGCCACAGGGAGTTGGTCTCGGGCGGAACTAGAGATTGAGTTATTTTCTTTAAATTTTTGACTAGTTAATCTTGGCACTTCAATGTCTATGGAGATATTATTGTTAAGGGAAAAAAGTACAAAAATCCCATGGTGTTCTCTGTATCTTATATGAAAACAATTATCTCTATTCTTGCCTGCGTAAATAGACGATGTCGATATCATATTTACTCTTTGACCAGATTCAAGAGTAAACATTATTTACAAGATGGTTCACTTACTAATTTCTGATTCTGTTGTTTTTGAAGTATTAAAGTTTTTAACTACAATGGATCGCTGTTCTTTAAGAAGATGTTTGACAAGTTGTTCCAGGTCAGTATTTTGATTATTTAGTGCTCTTTTCATGATTTGGTTTCTTTTTCACTTTTCGTTCTTTTATATCTTCACGCAGGCTGATTGGAAGCCGGAGTCACCCGAAAAGTTAGGCGAAATTGCCGAGCTTATAAAGTCAGTTGATTCCATGAAGATTGAAGAAACCAAATCACAAGGTCCTACTTTTTCAAACTCTTAAACATGTTTTGTTTCTATATTGCTTTGACTTTTCATTTTTCTTGAAGTATCGTCTCTGGCAGTCACTCTCGAGTCTGATTAGCGTAGCTTTGATTGATTATCAAGTTTTCATTTCTGTATGTGTTGACACAATTAATCATTTTCCAGGACAAGGGTCAACCTCCAAAAAGCCTGCACCGGCCAACCCTCCTGCAAAGAAGCCTGCTGCTTATCGTCCTCCACATGCTAAGAATGCAGCTGCAGTTCAGGCAGAAGTATTTTCTGACAACAACGGGGTATATCTTACTATAACGTTTTGAATAAACGCAACATATTAACAAGGAAATTAAATGACAAGCTCCCCAAGTAGTAAAACCACCATACTCGAATATGGGTAAGATGATATGACCTTTCAAGGTCGCCCAAGTACGGTTTACAGAACTGTGTAACCTCCGAGTCCTTTCTAAATAACTTGCCTTCTCAATTATCTTCAATATGACTACATTATCAGGATTCGTTTCCTATATTTAAAATTTCCTATTGGTGATCTGGACTATCTTAATGATTGTGTAATTGCAGTTGTTGGCGGGAGTGCTACAGGGTGAGTTTTGCTTTTATTATAATTTTATCATACCTTTACACCGTCTTTGATTTTGGTATTTTCCGATTCTGACAAGTACGCCATGATAATAGAGAGATGAGCAAGAATGCACTCAAAAACAAGAAGAGAGAAAAACAGGAGGAGAAGAGAGCTGCATGAAAAAACTACGGTTTTGCACTGTTTTGCACTAATACCAATCAAACTATTTAAACCGCTATACTTTTGCAGTCACCCTTTACCAGTTTTGATATGTAATATTCATTTGCTTTGCATGACTTTCAGCTTTGCTTATTTCTGTTTTCCTCCCCGTTTTTCCATAGGAAAAGAGAGCACTGGGAAGGGGAGTTGAGTAAACATACAATTTTTTTTACTAGAGACAACAATTCTTCTACTTGTGTCGATAATATATATTTGAGTTCGAATCCTGACACTGTGAATAGAGAAAACATAATTAGAAAGATCATTTTATAAGATTTGATCCAAATTAATTGAACAATAGATCTGATACCGGTGATGCTACTAACAAATAGACAATATTGATTAGATCTTTCACAAGTTGAAACCACACTCATATCTAACATTGAATCCGAGTAACATGGTTTAGAGGTACATAATTGCACCTTATGCAATGTTTAGGTTGAATAATACATCTGGTAAGAAGTAAAAGGATTAATGTCACATAAGAAGATGGGGACAACATTTGAATGCAGAGGAATCTCGTGGCCTGCATCATTGAAACCATCACAACAGGTTGAAGGTTGATCCCTAGATATCCCAAACAACAGACTTCCAAACACAGTCGAATCGACAGCGATATTTACAATAATACCAAGCAAAATTTTCTTGATCCTTTCACCTTAAGAAGACAATTTATACTCTGAATCCTTAAAGATTGAGCTTGTATTCCCACTCCAATTCCATTTAAGGTACAAAATCTATCCCTGAAAGACAGAAGGAAGCTAGTAGTCAAATACCAGTAGCAAAATGTTACTCTTTTCATTTCTTTTTCTGGGAGAAGAATACTCAAGTGTACTTAAACAAAATACGAACCTGAGAAAGCAGCAAAATGGTATATACATTGATGTGGGAAGAGCTTCACGAAACACACTGCTCCTGTATGGCATATGAAAACAGGTCTGAATGCAACAATGGAAATGCTAAATGTTGCCACCATTAGCCACTTAGATTCGAACTGAATACCGAATATGTGAATTTCAAGATGTAACCACAGCTCCATAACTGCAGGAGAAAAACAGGTATGAATATATGGTTGGAAACATTAATTGCTGGAGAGGGCTATTTGCCACAGGTTTTAAGCTGAATGCTTGAATTGCATGATTTATATGAACTTCACAAAAGATTACTATAAAACAAAACAAGCAGTTAAGTTTAAAATGTCCGAAAAGCAGGAATACATGACTGCAACTTTTCAACTTAAATAAATAATTATGTCAACTTAATAATTCAAGGCTTCTTTGCTTCCTTATAATTGAATAGATGTGGCTACCATATAAACCTGACACTAGGGAAATTTAAACTCTACTGCCAGTATATAATATACAGTAAAGGTTCCTAAGCGGTATGTTAAACTGTTCTTTCAAACAATGTAGAAGATGTATATTGTCTATTGAGTTTATTCTCCTCTACGGGAAATCATAGTTTGGGATGCAAAAAGGCTTCATAGAAAGATGTATTTTTTAGGTTATGCATCTTCATAAAGTTGTATTTGAGAGTAACATGAGCTTACCTTTGAGTTGACCGATCTACAGGTGATTTGCAGAAGATATAGTGTACGTTTGGCTTCTTTGGTCTTTAATCTTCGAGAAGCAACCCTTTGAGTTCTATTTCTATGTATGGTAGATGTGCAATCTTGAACCAGTCCTCATCATTCTCCATTTCCAGAGCAGGGCATCCTTTGATTACCAACCTTTGGAGATTGGTAAGGTTATGTAGACCAGATGGCATCGAATGCAACGTTAGGCAACCCTCAATACTTAATTCCTGAAGAGAACTAAGGGACTCCAAAACGGAAATGTCATTCAGTTGTCCACACTCCATAACCTCAAATCTCTGAAGGGAAGTCAGCGATCTTAGGTCCGAAGGCAGTGACATCAATCCATCACAGTACAGAATGCTCAAATGTTTAAGAGAAGAGGATGCTTGGTTGTCCTCAAATAGATGATCCAAGTGATCACAATTGTACAATGTCAATTTCTCGACAGAGAGGAAGCTTTTAAAGTAACAATTTAAGAACTCAAGCTTAAATTTTTCAATGACCAAAGAGGAAAGCGATGGTAGATGAACTATGGAGCGCAGCAGCATCTCATTGCTGTCACAAAGAGCTAAGCTTCTAAGATTTGGGATAACTGGCAATGCAGTCAACCTATGACATCCTTTGACCACAAGTTTGTCCAGGAAAGGGAAAGATTCAACTTCAAGTGACGAGGGAACTGAGGAACCTTCAACAATAGTGAAGATTTCCATACTCTTCCATTCCTCCAAGCCAGGCATATCATATATTTCAAACTGTTCCAGGCAAGGGAATCCTCCATCCCCATAAAATTCTTGGCCTATTGACCGCACTTCAGACATCCCTTTCAAATAGAGAAACCTAAGGGAAGGTAGCTGTCCGAGTGGCGGAAGTACTTGACAGCTGCAATTGATTAATGAAATACCTGAAAGATCTCGAAGACCCCGGTTCATCCATGATGGAAATCTGGAACCTTTATATCCTTTTAAACAAAAATCCCTTAGGTTCTCGGGTGGGTGGAGGTTTTCGAGTATTATGGAAGACAATTGAGCATTCCCAACATAACTTTGACCCCAAGATAATGTCAATGAGTGAATGCTTGCTTGCTTATACAGCTTCGCATTTCGTGCTTCTGCCTCCTTTGTCACATTTTCAAGATTCTTAATCTCTAGTCTCTCTTTAAGGTTCAGCTCACTCAACTCATTTAGTTTAGCACTATCAGATTGCTTTCCAAGAACAAATGTCGACAGCTTCTCAAGAAGCCTTAACTTTCCAATCCCTGAGGGAAGATAAGTCAAGGAGCAGCATGATGAAATACCGAGATTTACTAGATTTGTCAACTGGGGGACAGTTTTGGGCAACCCTTCAAGGTTATAACATTCAGAGAGTTCCAATGTCTGCAGATACTTCAGGTTACTGATGGTTTCTGGTATCTTTCTTATATGTGTGCGAGATGCATCAAGGTACCTCAGGTGTTTTAAAGCACCAAGAGAAACAGGCAACTCAGAAATGCCACTATGGCTGAAGTCCAATACGTGCAGATGGCTAAATCTAGAGAATATAGTTTCGGGGATACTATCAAACTTACTCGATAAGAAAACCAAAGTCTGCAAGTCTTCTTTGTTACTCAAATATCTTAATCGTGCTGAAGGCTCAAACTCAAATACCAGGGAGAAATGACGAAGTTCTTCTAAAACAAGTTTGGAACTTTCAGGTCCCATAGCTGAGCATGTTGTCGAACTAACAGTAACCGCAAAATCGTACACAACATCATGCATTCTGCAAAATATGGTCCCAGAATCATCTCTTACTATGTCTTCGTAAAAAAAGCGTTGTAACAATTTCATAAAGCAGTCCTCCGCTAAGTCATAGAAGCTTTCATTTGAGCCACTTGTTTGCAAAAAGCCCTCAGCTTTCCACAACTGCAACAATTTCTCCTTACTGATCCAATATTCTCTTGGGAATATTGAACAATACGCGAAGCATTGCTTCAGATTAGATGGTAAAAGATCATAACTGAGGTGCAGAACCTTCAAAATATTGAATCCATAACTATACTTTTGCAGCTCCAGTAACGCAAGAGCAGCGGCAGATAACCAATCTCCCATATCTCCATTATAGGGTAACAAAGCGCCGAGTATCCTCACAGCAAGAGGCAACCCTCCACAATTCGCAACAAGAATCTTGCTAATCTCTAACAATTCGGTATTCTGAATTTCCTCCTTCTCTTTCCAGGGCAACAATACCACCCTCCGGAACAGATCTAAACAATCTGCGTCATGCAAAGGTTGCAAGTAATATAAAGGCATGTTACTTAAACCATCCGCAACATCGATCGAGCGAGTCGTGATTATAACAGCAGATCCATAAGAACCCACACTGAATAAGTTCCTTAACATTAACCATTGATCCATCTCCTCAATGCACAGATTATCAAGCACAATCAGAAACCTCTTCCCCATCAGTTCAAATCTAACACCAATCTCAAAGTCATCCAAGATCGAAAATTTTTTAGAGCAAATTGCTTCCCCAATCCTTTGGACATTGAAACCACGATTATTGCCTGCAGAAACCCAATACTTGAACCTGAAATTACGCCCTATTGACTCGTCATTATAAACAAGACGAGCTAGTGTTGTTTTTCCCACTCCCCCGCCGCCTACAATGGATACTACCCGGCATATCTCGTTGGTCTTGCTCGTTAATAAACCAATTATCTTATCCCTATCTGTATCCCTGCCCACAATTTCAGGTTCTAAACCTAATAAATTAGTTCCAGAATTCAATCGAAAATAAAGATCTGGTCTCCAATTACTCTCCAATGGCCAATCGCCTTCGCCAGAGAGTCTGGACAACTTCTCGATCACATCCTCTATCGGACGCTGGTCTCCAGTTCTTGTGAGGAAACCAAAACAACAGCTCTTTAGTTTTTGATTCCTTACCTTGCGCATTTGCTGTTCATAGTCATCCAACAGAGAATCCAATCGGTAAGCTAAACGTTTGACTTCAGCCAACCACCCCCTGATTTCCTCCGGCATCTCGAACCGCTGCTCCGCCACTGTAGCTAAGTCTTTGACTGCCGCCACAACGGTTCGCGACCGGATCAATATCTCATCGCCGCCTTCGTCAAATGAAAGGAAAATGGAATCCAAACGGTTGAGAAGCGATTGGAGCAGGGGAGACGCAATCGAATCCGCCATTAATATTGCTTCAAAATTAAAGTTAAATTAGCAGCAAAAAAATCAACAACAAACGAAGATGAATTTCCTATATGAACTAATTTACCGAAAATTAAAATAAATATATGAAATTACAAAAATGCACTTGCCTCTCTTGGTAGCTAAAACCGAAATGAGGTGTAATTAAATTTCTATTTATGGATAGGACCGTCAAATGACATTAATTTCAATGGTCAACGCCTAGTGAATCCATTTCAGCTCAATAATAAAAAGTTAAAACTTTAAGCCCTTCAGTTGGCTCTTGTTTTGAACAGCTTTGCTGATTGCTGCGGCCGGCGGTTGTTTCCGGGTTGAGGCTGATATTTTACGGTTAGTTCTGGCTTTTTCCTAGATCTATCATTTCCTTTCTTTTTCATTTTTAAATCGTTTAAATGAAATTAAATGCGTTGCTTTTAATTTCAGTTATATTTGACTTCGATTCTGATGTATTGTTTTTAGATTCCTTTTCCGGCCAAGAACTCGTGGATGGAAATCTGATTTATTTGAAGCTTTTCATGTTCAGTAATTCAAGGGAGATAATTTGAGTGCATCAGTCGGGTATATAATTGAAATTTTTAGGTTAACGGAAACAATTTTACATATATTAGATCTCAGAATTTGAAATTATATTACTTATTTGAGGTTCAGCATAATGATGAACTTTTTAATCTTGTTTTTTTCCCCTGGAAATTCTCTGATCTATGAAAACCAGAAAATAAAGGTTTTTGAACTTGTATGCAGTAATAAACTTCAAATTAGGACTTTATAATATTATTCAAGGTTTGATGTAATGAATCCAAGATACCAGATGAAACATTGTAGTGAAACCGAATGATCCATCTAAGACTAGAACTAATGACTTTATATGCTTTTAATTTGGTGGTTCATTTTATGCAGTTGGGATGGATTCTAGGCAGGATAGCCGTTTTTCAAATATGGTTTCCTGGTGTAAGAAAATTGCGGGTGTAAAACGCGAGAAAAGGATTCATCCATCACTTATACCGAAGACTGAATATCTGTTTGATCTACGAGATTCCGTGAAGGAAGAAATGATCAAAGAATTAATGGTTGGGACAAGACGAACTAGAGAATGTCGAGAATGGTTGATCGAGGTGAGAGAGTTTGAAATTAGTGCAAATGAACTACTGAAGTTTCATGGGAAGACTTCAGATAACTTGAGGTCGTCGAGGAAACAGCCACGTGCTGATTTGATGAATATGCTTGATGACATCACCCATCTCTTGGAGAGTTCTCCATTGCAAGGAGCAACTAGAACAATGAGTTGTTCGATGACTGAAGTCAAGAGTTTTGGTCTTCCCAGAAGAAATGCAAATGCTTTCTTGAGGATCAAAACCGGAGATCCAGATGAGGCGTACATAGAAGCTGGAAGATCTCATGCTATGGCAAAGGAAGTTGAAAAGGGGAAAGCCTTAATGGCATCATCATCGAATAAACCTGACAAGCATCAGCCATTTGTATCTGTGGAAACTCCGGTGACCAAAAGAGACCAAGGAGGAGCACTGGAAGAATTTTTAAGCTCTGCATTGCCAACAGATGGTGTAGAACCCATAACTAACCATGAGGTGGTATCATCTTCACGAAGCGGCATCATAACAGCTCCTGGATCTGAGATTGAGCTTATTTCTTTCGTGGAGGAAGAAAAAGAAATGAAACCATATCTATCACCTGGAATTTCCAATACCATGTTTAATGAGATCGAAGAGATTTCATCCAGTCATGAAACAGAATCTGATGCTAGTTTACCAGCAGCAAGTCATATTCCCAAATCACTAATAAATGATCAGCAATCAGTTGAACCTACGATTGAAGCGAGAGCATTCACCTCTCACCAAAGCAATCTATCCTCGGTAGATGCATTTTCAGTAGAATCTCATGTACAAGAGGAAATCCTACTTACTGATGAAGTGGAGAGTGAGGATCCTAATCAAACTGATGCCAAGACAAATGTTGAGCGCACTGTGTTGAAGATATTGGAACTTTTGAGCAATGATACAGTCAGAAGAATTGGCATTTATGGCAGTGGAGGGATTGGCAAGACTACTGTGTTGAAAGCCTTTATCGACCATCCCCAGACAAAAGGCATGTTTAATTTGATCATTTGGTTGACTGTATCAAAATACTGGAGTATAAGGAAGATGCAGAAAGAAGTTTTAAAGCAATTATCAACAGATTTCAAGGCTGAATCTGAAAATAGAGAAGAATTATTCCAATATTTGGAAGGCAGGAAGTTTTTGCTTCTTTTGGATGATGTCTGGGAGAAGATAGATTTAGAAGCAGTTGGCATACCTGATCCTAGCTTGGCAAATGGCAGTGCGATGATACTGGCAACTAGAAAGTTGGAGGTTTGTGATGACATGCATTTCATTAATTTTATTGAAGTTGGAACGCTCTCTAATGAAGAAGCATTGGAGCTGTTTTGTGAACAAGTCGGTGGCATTGTCAACGCCCCAGGTATCCTTTCCTGTGCTCGAGGTATTGTTGAGAGGTGTGGAGGTCTGCCTCTGCTGATTATTGTCACTGGAAGAGCTCTGTCGGGGGAAGAAGATGTCTTTGCATGGGAGCAATTGCTGGAGCAATTTTCAGTGCCTTCTATATACCCGAGAAACCGCAATGACATAATCCAATTGTTAAAATTCAGTTTTGACCAATTGAAGGTTCATGACATACAAAGTTGTTTCCTTCATTGTGCTTTATTTCCTGAAGAACAAGAGGTTAACATTTCAGAATTTGTGAAGTATTCCATCGAAGAAGGACTGATTGGTGGAAATATGGCTGATGCATATAAGAGGGGGCATGAAATAGTTACTGCTCTTGCACATGCCTTTTTGTTAGAAATTACTCCCAATTATTCCATCAAAATGCATGATATGATGAGAGACCTAGCACTGGCCATCTTGTCACAGGAAAATGGTAGTCAATTTCTGTTGAGAGCTTACTCAAAACCAGCGAACCGAGAAAGTCATTCACTGCTTGGACCACAAGAAAGGCCCGAGAGCAATAGATTGTATATTCCTGATGGTCATCAATTCATATTGAAAGCTGGCTCAGGTCTGACCCAACCGCCTTCACTAGAGGAATGGGAAAATTCTAATATGATATTTTTGATGGACAATAAGTTGTCCTCTTTACCTGAGAGACCAAGTTGCCATGGACTCTCGACATTGTTTCTCCAAAGAAACTTCAAGCTCAGAGTGATACCCATGCTCTTTTTCGACTGCATGTCTTGTTTGAAAGTGCTGAACTTATCAAATACCAGAATAAAGTGCCTGCCAAAAACAATTTATAAACTTGTAAGCCTGGAAACTCTAGTTCTTCGTAATTGTGAACGCCTTGTTATGCTTCCTGCTGACATTGGATCCCTCAAACTTCTTCAAGTACTTGATCTTAGAGGCACTGAGATCAACAAATTACCTGATGAGATTAGTGAACTATCCTCTTTGGCATACTTTGATGTATGCTTCTATGGATCTATCAACCGGAGTGAGCAGGTTAAATTGCCTCAAGGCTTGATTTCTAATGGGATAATATCTAGGCTTCATGCATTGCAATCACTGGGGATCAAGGTGTGCCCGGGAGATGAGCGGTGGGACAAATGTGTCAAATCCATAATTTCCGAGGTAAGTGAATTGACGGGGTTAACTTCTCTGTCCTTTTATTTCCCAGAAGTAGAGCTTCTTGAACTGTTCCTCCAAAAAAGTGCAGCATGGATTGATCAATGCTTAACCAAGTATAATTTTGTGGTTGGACATGATATCAAGCGTATTGTCTCTCGAGTCCCACAATATGTGGAGCTTGATTATGATCGAACAAGCCAATGCTTGAGATTTGTTAATAGTGAGACGATACCTGATGCAATTGTCAAAGTACTAGCCTGTTGCTCTGCTTTTTATTTAGATCATCACCTGGACATAACCAGTATATCACAATTCGGGATTGGCAACATGAATAAGTTGAAATACTGCATAGTAAGTGAATGTCCTGCAGTTAAAGCCATTGCGGATGATGAGGAATTCACTGAGGTCGTATTTCCATGCCTAGAGCACCTGAATCTTCACTATTTGTGGAATTTGGAGTACATCTGCAAGGGCATTGTTCCTGAAGGAAGCTTCGCTATGTTACGGATTTTGTATGTGCATGCATGTCCAAAATTGAAATACGTATTGAAAAGCTCCATGCTTCGATTCTTCTCTAACTTGGAGGAGTTGATAGTTGATGATTGCACAGCAATTGAGAAGATAATATTCCACGATACGACTGCTGAATTGAGTCGCATTTCAGATTTCACTTTCAAAAGCTTAACTCTCCACTACCTTCCTGCATTAGAAAACATTGGGGAAGGTGTGTTGCCCTTGTTCGAATATATCAGTGTATGCAACTGCCGTAATTTCAAGAAAATCGATATAGATTCCAAGTCAAAACACACTCTGAAGGGGATTAAAGGAGAGAAGGATTGGTGGGATTCATTAGAATGGAAGGAACCTTCTCTAAGCATGGATTTCAAGGACTTGTTTACTCTAGTCTCTGAGGATGACATGTAAGGAGATGGAATCAATGACGCTGTCTTCATTGCTCAAGTTGAGACCTTTAAAGTTCATTAGCAGTCATAATGTTATCAAGACAGCTTACTGACAATAAAAATCGAGGCTGAAGAGGTATGCCTATTTGTCCTTGTCCTATTCCAGGATTATGAAGCCATTATATTAAAGCATGCCTACATTGTAGCTGAATATCACTTGGCACCCAGTACCTATGTTATTCCGACTCTTCATTCTTCCAAAAATATCCTATGTCCGAAACATTTTTGTTTCTTTACAATGAAGTAAGGGAAAGTTAATATGTGGATGGAAGCGCATGATCCTCCAAACATATGGAAAAATTGGAGTCTACCTGTTAACATAAACAAATAGTATCATCTTGTTACAACAAAATTAGGTTACTAATTGATTTTTTTTTTCTTCCATATAGATTGTAGTTGGCTCACCGTTTCTTCGTTTAGCATGCCGTATTCTCTACCTTGTTTTGTTTGTTTTATTTTTGCGTAAAATATACCAAGGCCCCTAAATTTTTAAATTTTCAGAAATCACAAAATGGTCATTAAATCCTATCAAATTGAAAATGTTGTAGTGGCTATTTATAATAGTTAAATAAATTTATTAATAACCTTGTAACTTTGAAAAGTCAAGTGAACAAAACGATTGTTTGATCATTGTTCAGGGTCCTTGGTGCACTTTACCCTTTATCTTTCCCTGCAAAATTTGGCAATCAAAATTATTGATACCACTCCTTATTTTAGGTCACTCCAGGTATAGCTCTGAAAATCTTTCCGTGCAAACAGTTTCAGTGGCACATCAGTTCCTCGCACTGGCAAAGCAGAAACAGCAGTACATCGATGACGGGTGCTGTTGGAATAGCAAAGGCAAGCCATCAGAGATGTTCCTTTCTGGAACGACTTGTGGAAAAGCTGAAACTACCATTCTAGATAAAGTATTGCTTCCTGATTCCTTCATGGAATGCCTGCAATTTGTGACGCATTCGAGGAAGTAGACAACGATGGCATAGCATCACTTAAAAAGCTTACATCCAGTTACCGGCATCAGAATCCCAGTAACGATCTCATGTCATGCCTTCAGGGTTTCGAAGAACTTGTTATTTTAGCAAGTATTGGTCACTGATTATTTTACTTAATTCAAGGATCTAATGCATTTGATTCAATGTATTGTCAAAAGCTCAAATCTCATAAATTCTTTAAATATTTTGTTCAACCAACTGATTCCCGTTTCAGCCAGTTAGTTCAACCAACCGGCTCGTTTCATCCAGTTAGTTCAACCAACTGGTTTGATCCAGTTTCGAAGGATGGAAAGAATAAAATTCAAAACAAGATCAATTTCAAAGTTCTTTAAATATTGTTTCAATTCAAATTCGTAAGCGATGGAAGTAAGGTGACCCCTATCAAATATATGAAAAAACACACACCAGTAATTTATAGTGGGTTGAATTTCAACTGCAAAACACTCTTTTGACAAAATCTAAACCAAAAGGCTTCAACGGTTGTTACCACAGGGATCACCGTCATAAGTAAACGCGATAGATAGAACCAAGTGTCGTATTTCGCACGGTTGAACTCCCTAAGTTGCTGGAGCTGTCAAAACCATCAGGTATTATACACAAATTAATACGAAACTCGGCTTTGTAGGGGTACTGCATGTGCAATTCTGCTAGAATACTATATATTGTTTGTCGGGCCGAATACGAAACTCGAGCAATATTGTAGGTTCACAACCAGAATACAAAAAAGGATCATGAAATAGTGAGGGTAAATAAACAGTGTAAAATCAAAATTTATTACCTTTAGCAGATGGCTCATCCTGAGGTTTCATGGCTGGGAAGAGAAGAACCTCCTGTTCGAATAACATCAAAGAGATTATAAGTGACTAAGTCGACTACTGAATTTCATAAGAGTAAACAAACTGGTCACCCATATTAGAAAGAGAGAGAGAGAACCTTGATGTTCTGTGAATCGGTTAATAACATAGCCAGCCGATCGATTCCCAATCCCCAACCACCAGTTGGTGGCAACCCATACTCGAGAGCAGTACAGAATGTTTCATCCAAAGCCATTGCTTCATCATCTCCTGACTGCCGGTCCTGATATTCCAACGCTTATATCAGAAAAAGTTCCTACATAATCCAATTAATGTTACCACTACTTCACAGAACTGGTGACAGTATATGATACCTTCAGTTGTTCAGCAAAGCGTTGACGTTGTACAACAGGATCATTCAACTCCGTGTATGCATTGCAAAGCTAAACAGTTGGAAAGAAACAAGAATTGTAAGCCTGGGTAAAAGTAAATGAGGAAAATAAACTAGATTTAAGATGTTTGATGAGCCTACTTCATGTTTGTTGATAAAAAGCTCAAAACGTTCAGTCAGCCCTGGTTTTGACCTATGCCACTTCGCCAAAGGACTCATTATCTCAGGATGGTTGATGATGAAAGTAGGATTCATACAAGTCTCTTCCAGAAAATGCCCCACAAGCTGCGATCAAAGGAAATAAAAATTGATAAAACTTCTACTAGAATTAAGAAAAACTCATTTTTCCGACACGAAGGTGACCATAGACATTATATCATCTTCTGATGCCTCACAACCCCAATAGAAATCTCCTAATGTCCCCATGCAGTCCCACTTTAGATTATGGTGCCTACACAGCCAACCAGACGTCCAATATGGCAATTTAAACACTCATGGAGTTGAAGTTACAATTCTTACCGTTCTATGTCTTGCCACTGTATGACTCAACCAATGATAAAATTAAGACGATATAGTTGTAGTTCCATTCTATTGCATTTACCTTTTATTTCAATTTAGCAGAAAATAAACCAGTCCACGATTAGGTACTAAACTGCTTGGTAAATTAGTAAAACTTCAGCACTTAGACCCAGGAACAACTCAAAAGAGGGCAATTACTCAATTAGATATTGTGTACAACTCCAAAATGCATACAGGTTAGTACGTAACAGAAAGTCCAGGGAGTACCTTGATTCACATCACAGTTATTTGAAGTGAAACAGGAAAGACAAGAGACGTACTTTGTCCAATAAACGTGCTGTTGTTTGAGGTGGAGGGCATTTGATGTCAAACATCGTACATGCATCAATCAAATACTTGTTAGCTTCATCGCTCGAAAAGTCCTTCGGGATGTTGAGGTTAGCCATCTTCTCCAACTCCTCTACCATGTCGAGCCTCCTGCGAGAATTAGTGACAACTTTATTAGCTAAAGTCACTTCCAAGGCTGTTTCTTGATTGGTTCATGAGTAAAAGAGATCCACAAACCTGAAAGGCGGAGTGAAATCAATCTCAATTGGATCATTATCAAGGCCGTTTGAATGATATTTAATTTTATAGCTTCCTGTAAGTTCCTTGACCATCCCTGTTGTAGATTAACCAAGTCATGGAAAATCCAACAAATTCAAAAATGGGAAGAATCAGCAAACAGAAATGTATCTTCCAATGTCAATTGTCAAGCAATTTTTGTTACTTACCACTCAACATCTTTTCAGTGAGCTCCATCAAATCATTATAATCTGCGAAAGCCATATAGAACTCACAGGTAGTGAATTCAGGATTGTGAGTTAAATCAATACCCTCATTTCTAAATTGTTTTCCAATTTCATAAACACGATCCAGTCCACCAACTACTAGCTCCTTCAGATATAACTCAGGTGCAATACGCATGTAGAGCTTCATGTTTAGTTCATTATGATGGGTTACAAATGGGCGAGCAGCAGCACCCCCAGCAATCATATTCATCATGGGAGTTTCAACCTAATGATTAAATATTCACATAAGTGACAAAACCAGAAGAAGAAATGTAAAGAGAACTGATAAATTGATACATTGAACAGATAACTAACCTCCAAGAAATCAAGATTGTCAAGAAAGCTCCTTACATAAGAAATGATCCTAGATCTGGTTTTGAATATTTGACGAACCTCCAGATTTAACATCAAATCAAGGTATCGTTGGCGATATCGAGTTTCCTATCATGGAAATTAAAAGCCCGTGTTTGAATTCAGAGGATCAGGGATTGAAATGCAAGACTGATAGAATGACTTCCCGTATTTGCATCATACAGTTTTTTAGTACTTTTAGCCAACAGATGTACCAGAAAGGGAAAGAAAAGGTAAAATGAAAATTATATTAAATTCAACCAACAAGAAAATTATATTAAATTCAACCAACAAGAAAATTATATTAACTGATAAATTTGACAAGATTAGTTCCTAATTAACTATCCAATTCTTCAATTATGACAAACAATGAGACAAGTTTCTCAATGTAAGTTTGAATTATTTTTGCAGTTTAAAGTGAGTTCAATCAATCTCGGTCCTAGTGAATGGATCTCCCACAGAGGAATTTCCGATGGCTAAAGGGTTGAGACAAGGTTGTAGTTTGTCCCCTCTTATGTTTAATATAGTTGGGGAACTTCTTCATCTTATGCTGATTAAAGCTGCTGATATGGGCCTCTTTGAAGGGTTTGCTATTGGTAGGTCTGATAATCCTTTCCAGCTGACACACCTACCGTTTGTTGATGATCTTATCTTGTTCTGCCGAGATTCTCCTACTCACATCTTAAATATTAGGAGAGTGTTGAGGATTTTCAGTTTAATGACAGGGCTTTATTTGAATCTTACTAAGAGTAATCTGTATGGCATTAATATTGAAGATGGCATCTTAAATGAATGGGCTATCGCAGCTGGCTGTTCAGTGGGATCTTTTCCTACGGAGTATCTTGGCCTTCCTTTAGGTGCAAAGAAAAATTCTGAGGTTCTTTGGGATCCGGTCATCCAGAAGTTTAATAAGAAATTAGCTGGTTGGAAAGCCTCTTCATTGTCAATGGTGGGTAGATTGGTGTTGTTGAAGTCGGTGTTGTCCTCCCTGCCGATTTTTTTCCTTTCTATCTTTAAAATTCCGTTCAAGGTAAATCAGAAGATTAACTCTTTGATGACTAAATTTCTTTGGGGGGAAGGACCAACAAAGAGTCGTATTCACTAGGTGAATTGGAAAGTGGTTTGTCAACCCTGTGAAGAGGGTGGATTGGGAGTCTCGGATATGAATACTATAAATCGAGTGTTGCTCGGTAAATGGGTGTGGAAATTTGCAAATGCAAAAGACACCCAATGGAAAAAGATGCTTTGCAGCAAATATAGTGTTAGCAATCTGTCTCTATCAGTTAACAAGGCAGTTTCTCCTCAAGATTCATGGATTTGGAAAGGAATTATTAACTATTCGAAAAATGATGAGGTTGGAGAGTGTTTCAGGTCTCATTCTAAGATC